TGAAAAGAAACAACATTATTTATACTTAAGTATTCTAATGACTGGATCATCTTCAATTATAGAACAATTTCACAAGTTGTACCCACCTTTGTTTGAAGGTGGCCTCGATCCATTAGCTGCTGAAGAATAGCTTCGCCATCTTGAGCTTATCTTCAGGTTTATGGAATGCACTGACTCACAAAAAATCCTTTGTGTGGTATTTATGATGGAGAAGAGAGCAAGTCATTGGTGGGAGATGACTATTAGATCCCGTACCAAGGAGCAACAACGTAACCTTATATGGGCACAGTTAAAAGAGATAGTGCTCTAAAAGTACCTTCCAACTACTTCAAGAGACAAAAAGAAAACAGAGTTTCTTGAGCTAAAGCATGGAAACATGACACTCACCGATTATGCGCGGAATTTTAGGAGTTATGCAAATTTTCCCCACATCTGGTGGACGAAGATGGGAGACGAGCTCAGCGTTTTGAGAATGGATTAAGAACTAACATTAGGAAAGTAGTGACAGTATTCCAATCAGATACTTATCAGAGAGTTCTAAAGAAGGTGCAAACATATGCCTTTGACGATGACCAAATTGGTAAAAGTAGTAAACAATAGACTGGCTCTTTAGACAAGCGCAAATGGTATGACAATATCAAGAAGAATGGAAAAGAAACAAAAAACAAAAAACAGAGGCCAATATCAGTGACAAGAATCAACGACCACTCTGTCCTAAATGTCAGAAACCTCATAAAAGAAAATGCTTGGCAGGAAGAGGTGTCTCTTACAGATGTGGCAAGTGAGGACACGTCGACAAAGATTGCACTAAGAGGCAACCTAAGAAGGCTGAAAATTAAAAAGTGGGCAAGGTCAGAGTTTTTGCTTTAACATAGGAAGAGGGCAGAGCTCGACTGCAATGTACTGGCAGGTATCATATCAATCTCTAACATGCTTGCTTTTATATTAATTGATTCAGAAGCTACACACTCTTTTTTCTTCGATATTCATTTCAAAGTTGAATATAGAATGTGACCAATTGATAACATATTAGAAGTATCACTAACGTCTAGGAAGGTACTTAATACAAATTATATAGCGAGGAACCTAAATTTAGAATTAGGTGGGAAGATTATAAAAATAGACTTAGTGGTTCTAAACATGAAAGATTTTGATGTTATACTTGGAATAGACTGGTTGTCGAAAAATTATACAACCGTTTGTTGTTTCGTAAAGGATGTAATTTCTTAACGACCCAGTGAAGGAGAATTTTTTTCTTTGGAGCAAAGGTAAAACCTCTACCTTGACTTATATCAGCAGTGCAGGCTGAGCGCTTGTTGAAAAGAAGTTTGTCAAGGATTCATAGTATCCTTGACCAGCATTGATCAAAAAGAGTTAACCATCGCGAAGTTCGAGTGTTTAGGAAATTTTCAGATGTATTTCCAAAAGATTTACCAGGAATGCCTCCAAATCAAAAGGTCAAGTTTACTATTGACCTCATACTGAGTGCTACACCAATTTTAAAGGCCCCTTATCTTATGGCACAGATAGAACTTCAGAAATTGTAAGTACAATTGTAGGAGTTGCTAGATAATGGTTTTTTAGGCCAGTGTCTCACCATTGGGAGCTCCAATATTGTTCGTAAAGAAGAATGATGGATCGATGAGAATGTACATCAATTATCAATAGTTGAATCGTATTACAATTAAATATAAATATAAATATCCCTTCCCTAGAATTGAAGATTTATTTGACCAGCTACAAGGTGTCAAGGTCTTCTCGACAATTGACTTAAGATCAGTTGAATACTAAAGCAACCGAGTGATGCCCTTTGGCTTAACAAATGCACCGACAGTCTTCATAGATTTCATGAATTTAGTTTTCCAAACTATTTGGATCAGTTTTTTGTTGTCTTCATTGATGTTATACTAATCTATTCAAAAAGTGAGCATGAACATACGGAACATCTAAGAATTATTCTTGAAATAATGAGGAAGGAAAAGTTTCCTGCCAAATTTAAAAAGTGTGCATTTTGGCTCAATAAAGTGGGATTTTTGGGCCACATAGCTTAAAGAATTGAAGTTGACCCCAAGTAAAGTCAAAGCTTACCAATTAGCCTCAACTAATGAATGTTAGAGAAGTGCCCAACTTCTTGGGATTAGCAGCTCATTATAGGCGATTCAATGAAGGATTTTCAAAGATTGCCATCCCCATGTCTTAGCTAACTAGAAAAAATGTGAAGTTCTTACGGATGAATATGTGTGAACAAAGCTTTCAAGAACTAAAACAGAAATTGACCTCAGCTCTAGTCTTGACCATGCCCAAAGGGCCAGAAGGCTTTGTTATTTATAACGATGCATCTAAGCAGTGTCTGGGATATGTACTTATGCAGCATGATAAAGTTATCGCATATGTTTCCAGACAACTAAAGTCGTATGAAGAGAATTATTCAACGCATGGCCTAGAGTTAGCAGAAGTAGTTTATGCACTAAAGATATGACGACACTATCTCTACGGAACTCAATGTGATATTTATACGAACCACAAGAGCTAAAGTACTTCTTCACCAGAAGGAATTGAACATAAGACAACACTTATGGCTAAAATTGGTGAAAGATTATGATTGTGCCATTTATCATCATTTAGAAAGACTAATGCAGTTGCTGATGTATTAAGCAGGAAGACGACAGGATATTTGACAACTTTACCCACTATACAAAAATCATTAATCAGAGATATAGATAACTTACATCTTGAGGTGATCTTACCTCCAACAGATATTGCAGTATGATTGCTACCCTCATAGTTCAACCTACTATTAGAGACTGAATTAAGAAAGCCTAGGATAGTGATCCATTCCTACAAAAGATTAAAGGCGAAGTTGACACTAGTAGATGAAAGGGTTTTGATACCCTCTTGTTGTGCACTTCAATTCACACAAATTCATAGGAAAAAATAGAGAAAGAGGAAAGTAGGGGGGGAGAGAGAGAGAGGAAAAAAAACTTGAGAAAGAGGAAATAAGGAGGAGAGAGAAGAAAGAAAAAAAGGGAAAAGATTTTCTAGTGCATTCGAGATTCGTTCACAAAAATTTCCAGTCTTAAGTAGCTTAAATACATAAGGAATTTAATGAGGTAGGTATGAATTTCTCTAAATGCCAAGTGATTTCATGTTTTCACTTTTTAATGTTTTAAGTATTTTATGTATTATTATGTGCTCCAAATTAAAGAAGGATGTTGTGGATAATACCATATCGTATTATTATGTAGATCTACACAGAAACTAACCATAGGGCTAAACATCCTAAGCAGAGATTGAGAATGGGTATGATCTAAGTGAGAATGAAATGGTCATGCTTCTATCCCATTAAAAAATTATGTTATGTGCATATTTTATTTGCTTTATGTATTAAATTATGAAAATACGGGCATAAAATCTATACTGAGTGTATTCCTGTGCTCATTTCATATTCTAAATTATTTTTACAGATACTTGATAGATTAGAGTTGGAGGTTGAGACTGCTGATAAAGTTTGTATTTATAATGTGTTTGATTGATTTTATTTTTCATGAAAAATGTTATTTTCCACCCAAATTTCTACTTTTTTGGTGTTTGATTAACAATTTTTCTATAAAGAATATTTTCAAACTTTTGGTCACGTAACCATATTTTTTTCAAAAACAAGGAAAATATTTTATTTAGGGAGAAGTGGTTTTTATTTTTCAAGTAATTCACCATCTCTTTTTCTCTCTTATATATCCATTTTCTCACATTTACCTTTCAATAAAAAATGAACAAGTATAATATTTTTTAGGTTGAAAACTAAATTAATCAAACACCTTTAATTACTAATTTACATACAAGTTCTAGAAAATTGAACTTTCTAGAATTTATTTTATTTCCATGCAAATTTAATGCTTGCAATCAAACACACCCCTAGTCTAAAATTTATTTGCAATCAGAATTTTATTTTCAAAATTGAAGATTTTATATTTCATTGGTGGTTTGAATTTATTTGACATATTATGAGATAAATAAAATTATATATTTTATTCCACAAAGTTTCTTCAATATTTTTTTTTTGTATTATATTGCGTCAATCAACTTTTATAATGGTTAAAGGAAATAATTGAGTAACCTCCAAGATATAAGTTCCGGGGCATTACAATTTTTGTGGCACTTGTCCAAAACTATTGACATTTAAAACATTATAAACGGATTCTAAGGGATTCTCAAACAAAAAAAGGTTTATCTTTATTTTTTTTATTTTTTTATTTTTGGGTTGAATCCTATCATTGCATCTTCTTGCCTTTGGTGATCTTGCCAACATTCGTTTAGGAAGTCTAAATTTGCTCAAAGAACTTCTCTGAAGATTGGGGATTGCTAGGCAGGGGGTGCAGGTTCTTTCTTTGAGTTCGAAAAACTTTTGTTAGACATATATTGTGAACATCAAATCTCGATCTAATATTAAGAGTGTGTTTGATTGACATGGAAAATATCACTTAGAAAAGAAAATATTTTTCATCTTTTGTGGAAAATAAAAAGCACCTCTACCCAAGGAAAATATTTTCCTTGAAAACAAGGAAAATTAGGCATATTTTCAAAAGTTGGAAAATGTTTTCCATGAAAAAAAATAGCAATCAAACACTCCAAGTAAGAATTTGGATGGAAAACTGATATTTTCTATGGAAAATAAATGTAATCAAACACACCCTAATAGCTTACCCTATATTTTGAAGAGATGGTTGATAGAATATCGAGCAATGATTGGTCAATTATCGAGAGAACAAAGATCGATCATCCTCACCATCGGACTTTTTTTATTAGAAACTAAGCCCCCAATTGGTAGGAATTAAAATCATATTTTTAGTAAATTTTGATAAAAATTGATAAAATGTGATTAGTTGTTTACTTTAACTTAAATTAAAATCTGAATTTTAATTTTTACCAAACATGGGCTAAATGTCAGGTAGATGAAACAATAACCAACATCAAACTGATTGTTGCAAGGATTAGAACAAGAATGACACGAAAAATGTATGCGATTAAAATCCTATACTTGGGAAAAGGCAAATGCAACAAATTATGTGTGGACAATATTAAAGGTTCGACTAGAACCAATGGAACAAACAAAATCCAGTAATTCAATTCTGAACCCAAAAACAAAACCGATTCCAAGATCGCAGTTTCTAAAATCCACTATTTCTTCTCCTCCTTTTCAGCCTCAGCAGCCCTCTTGGCTCTTACTCCAAAATGGCGCTTGTTAGTTCGTTCCAAACGCAGCTTGTCATATGCCCTGAACGACTTCATCTCTTCTGTGACCTTAACAAGCTCCACAGTTGGCTTCTCACGTACAATTGGCATGTAAGAACCTAGGATTTGAGTAGCTGTTGCCAACTCCTCTGGAGTCGAATCACCAGCCTGCAAGAGAGCCAGCAATCGTCAAAAAAGAAACAACGAATGTATAGCAATTTTCCAGTGTTGAAAATCAACGTTACCTTGGATTTACAAGCACGTCTTGGGAAAACGACTAATTTGGCCTTGTAAGTCTTTAGTCTATTAACATTAGTCTGAAAACCCTCTAGGGAAGAGTTCCTACGGCGATGATCAACTGCAATGCCAATAGTTGGGGCAAATTTCTTTGGGATGCCTGCAGCCTGATTGATACAGACCCAATAGTTATTTATTCACGTCAAAGGTGAAGTTTGAGCACATAAGGACGACCTTAAATAAAAATAATATTTTAGAACCAGGTATCAACTCTGAGATAATTCCCTCAAGCTAGTTCCCATGAACCGCAACAGCAAATTGTGAAGTATCAATCAAATAACTAAGGCAGTAAAAACAACTAAATCTACGGTCCGAATAGTAGAATACTAGGTAGAATGAGCATTGTGATAGTGCATATTGGAAATCGACTTCGAACTGTCATATGCACATAAAATTTTTCCCATAAACCAAGGAAACAGACGAGCTGAGAACAAATTACCTTGAGCTCCTCCAGTGAAAATCCCCTACCGGCTCTGACTTTCATGTTGTACTTCAGAGTCTGCCCATGGACAATGGGACGAAGGGGTCCAGCAGTAGGCTGGGGGAAAATCTTCACAGCTTTCTTCTGCCTAGCTGGAAATGAGATATATCAAACATGAGTCAACATATCGATAAAACATTTGGAACAAATGACAAGACAGAGCAAATGACACAGAAAGAATAGTATGCATACAAGTTGTTCCACATTTTGAGTTATGAAATTGGATGCATACCGATTCTTCTCCTGGTCTTGCGAGCAGGCTGGTTGAACCATGTCTTAACATAGTTCTGCCAGTGCTTCCTGAAGTGCCCATTTGGGATAACGTTGTTGTGCTTAACCATGACTTACCTACACTACAAAGACGAGGTAGGTGCCTGTCAAAGACAGCTCAAATGATAAACAAACATTGAATAACTTTTGACGAAAATCTGAGCAACAGATAAAATTAAACACATAAATAAACGAGTTTACAAATAAAAACCTATATGTTTTACTCCACACTGCAAATCAGTAACAAAAAATCCAGCTATAGCTCTCCTTCAACGTAAATTTCATAACAAAAATACCCAGTTTAAATCTAGAACCAATCAAATCTTAAACCCAAATCATTATTCGAACCCAACATCAACATATCCATACAAATTTCAAATCTGTAATTATATCACCAAACAAAAAACAAGTGAATAGACAGTCAGTTCAACCACAGGTATGCACAACAGCCAAGCAACATATGCAATACTAACTAGAGCTACATAAGAAACAGATTGAATACCTTCAGTATACTAATCATATGTTAAAACCATATAACTTAATAAACAAGAGCTAATTCATCAATCTAAAAAATTTTGGGGAGGATGCACGGTCATAAAACCCCTCTTCATTTCAATTCCTAAATAAGCCTAATAGTTAAAAATCTTAGGCATTCGACATAAATTCAGTTTATATTCCTACATTTCCTCCCTGAATAGAAAAGAAATGACTTAACCATCTCATTAAGAAAAAATTTAAGCTCGTTGTACATCTAACACGTAAGGCATAAGAAATTATTCCAATGAATAATTCAAATGAATACATAGATGGATTACATGGCCGGAGAAGAAATATAGAGATCTTAGGGATAAGACTTACGGCGGGCGATGATGTTGAGCAGAAAAAAAATAAAAAATGAAGGGGGCCTTTTGGCACTGAAGCTAAATTCTTGAAAGTGGAAAATAAGCCTTCTCTATAGCATGAAGAAAAAAAAAAAAACCCTAATTTCTCGGACGGGTTTTCCGTTTTCAGGTTTGGTGATACGAAATTTGGGTGGCCTTGGGAAACCCAATGGGTACTTTACAGGCAAGATTGGGCCTATTTCCATTGGGTTATTCAAATATTGGCCCATTTTCAATTCTAAACAGCGTTTATGAATTAATTGTTCCACTGGTCATTGAACTTATGTTCATGTCTTTGATTGATCATCGAAATTTAAAATGTCGAATTTTTGCTATTGAACTTTGGAAAATGTTAGTAGGTGCTCACTAACATAAATGTTAACCTTTGAAAAATGTCTAGTTTACGATGAGTAATGTATAATTTTTTTCAAAGTTAAGTGGTCAAAACTTGATATTTTAAACATCAATGAGCAATCGAAGATATGAACCTAAATGACCAAAACTCGTTATTTTAAATTTTAGTGATTAATCAAAGATATAGACCTAAGTTCAATAACAATTGGAACAATTAACTCATTTTTCCAAAGGATCGCAATGGACGTGTTCGGGGCAGCCATTCCTTGTCCCACTTAAGGAGGGCGGGACACGCCTGGATTCTGAATTGGGGCATTCATTTGCCCCGTTTATTATTCTGTTTAATATTTTTATTTTTACTTTGAAATTTAATTATTTGATTTGAATAATACTAGGCGAGGCGAGGTGAGGCGATCAACACCCACTTCACCACGAACTTGATATGGATTCTTGCTACGAACCAGCCTAATTTGACTCAGTGCAACACAAGTCTCGAATCAATCAAATTATCTTCGCCATTCCTAATTTTTACTCGAATCGTCCAACTTGAACTGATTAGCTCCAATTAAAAATCAGTTCAATTCTAGGTCTTAATCAAGAAGCAAGCAATCGCCTCTGGTTCGTAGTTCTAGTTACAGAATAAGCACTGATTTGTTTCTAGAAATTTTATCATAATCACTCATTTTAGTCGTAATTTATATAACCGATAATTTCATTTCTCAAAATCCCAATAGGAATCGATTCAGTCTGAAATAAATTTATTTGAATAAACAATTTTTTTATTTTTATTTTTATTATTATTTTTTTTTTGTTAACCTGTCCAAAGAGAGTAATTTTACATTTTTGTAATAAAATAAAAATGAAAATTCTTGACATTTTGCTTAAAATTTTATGACTTAGTTCTTAAACTTAGCCAAACATTTCTCCACATCCAGCTATTGAAAGGAAAATAACACACACACAGCCTATTTTGTAAATTAGACATATTTCCACACAGTCTCAAACATGTTGCATCTTGCGTCAAAAACAAAATCCAAGCTAATGCTAACCATCTAACAATATATCAAGACAGAACTTTATAAGTAAAAACTCATTGAATTCATTGCTTCGGGCTACCATCCTCCATTTCCTCGTCACTTAAGTCAAGATCAGCAAGCAATTCTTCGATTGGAATAGAAGGAAACTCCTCTCCATCTGTCTCAGATGCCATTTCTGAAGGCTGGTACTCTTTGTTCCGGTAGAGGGAAATATTGAACCTCAAGTCAGGGTTTTCCTCCAAGTCTCTTTTGAACTGTTCATACTCTGTGTTCATCCTCTCCTCTTGATCTCTACCCCTAGTAGAATTGTCGATCTCCATATTAAGAGATTTCAGTTTCCATGAACGAGGCTTATTACGCTTCCTTTGACGCTTCTCTTCATAGCTCTTTTTAATTAATATCACCTCTGGGAGAACGAGACCCTTGTACCTATCCAGTTCAATATCATTACTGTTCGCACCATATAGGTCATAACCAAGGGCATAATCACCAGGATTTAAGAGATGGCCAAGATGCGTCCTAACGTTGAATATGATATCATTCCTTCCAAAATCTGATACACGTGCTATTTGGGCATCAGCTACAACATACTTTGAGCCACCAACAATGACTTCAGAAGAAACAGTCTCAATGTCCAACACGATATATTCCACAAGCTGCCTACTTGAAAGTAGAGCCTTAAAAGGTACCCTCCAATACTGCTCAGCATTCAAGAAGCAGTGCCTAAGAGTAAATGGATCTAATAAAGCAATGCTGTTGGTAACTTTAGTGCAGATCACAAGGGGTCCAAGATTTCCCTGACTTGCAGCAACTTTAGGAGGAAGACATATCAAATCCTCACGACATACTGGACATATCTCAACCGAGAAAGTGTACTTGTAATTGAAATTGTTGCTCTTCGGATCATGTGACACAAGTTGCTTGTCATTTCGTTTCTTAATTGGAGCTACCTCGCCCACAAAGTCCACAAACTTCCCAGCATGACTTCGATTAACGAAAAAGAAATCAATTCCCTGGTCCATCTGCTTAATTCTTATTGCATTGCGAGCTTCATCGTGCTTAATAATAAGCTGCTCCAGATAGAAGAAAGTGCGCCTGTGAGAAACATGCTGCCGCAGTTGAACTGCAGCCACCCACTGATCAGGATTAGCCTGAACCCTTGTACAAGACTCGCACATTTGGTCTTGCACAACATATTCAACAGTGTAAGCTTGTTCAAGTACAGCCCCATTTAGAACCTCTTTCTGGACCCTCAGCTTAACTTTAATCCTCTTGGAGTGAGGCTCAGTCCAGATGAATTCTGCATGTACTAAATGGACTTTATTCAAGTTCTTCAACCTCTTTATGCAGAAGGTCAGCAGCTCCTTGGACTCGAGCTGCATTTTACTCCATGTCCTTGGCGGCTGCAAATAGCTCTCACATTCAGGGCAATGGATAATCACCACATGCTTCTGTAGACCTTCTGTTATGTCAACTTCAGAACGCAAGCACTTGGCGCACATATTTGCAGCATTTGGTTGCATCAAAATACCGCATTTGCAGCATAGGACACTGCCAATAGTTTGGGGCACTGTAAACATACCTGTTTCCTGTGCCATAGCTTCTAAATCTCTGATTGAGGTGCACGAGGAAAATTCAACTTAGAGATCAATACAGAAATAATAAAATCCCAAGATAGAATAAGACTACTTCATTTTCACACAAACAAGTAAAATCTTGACTGCTGTTATAAAATGAAAATTTTTGTGAAGCTTACCATTTTCATTTCAGTGAATTGGATAGGTTCTCAAGAGTGTTCCCCGATAATTGGGTCGTGTTTTAAATAGAAACCAAATTTCGCATCTAATGATTTTTTTCACATTTCAATGGAAAACTATCATTAGTTACTATCAACTAAATCTACAAACGAGCAGCAAATTACCAGCGAAAAATCTTATTCTCTTTTACCATGTCATGTTTCAACCAAAACAAAATTAATCGAGATCTCCAATCATTTTTTGCTAAAAAAAATGAATATGATCGCAGCTTATCAACTAACTTAATCTACAAGAAAATTATTTTCACAAAATTTATCATAAGCAGCAATAAATAAACTCAAAAAGCAAGAAAAAAAGAAACGTCTGACTATATCAGAATCAGCAGCATCTGAATCATCATCATGTAAAGAATATGATTTAAAAATTAACATGACACCCTAACAACGAATTAAGCGTTGATAGAAATAGTTGTGTAAAAAGGCCACATCAGATCTTTCTTTAACCAAACAGGATGAAAACCAAACAGCATCAAGCATAAAAACGAAAAAAGAAAAAATTATAAAAATAAGAGAAGAAATTTACTATAAAATTGACCAATGGTTCATCTCAAAGAAATTATAGAATCTATAGTCAATTAAATACATAATTATGTATAAATCACATAGAAATTAACTATAGAAAATAGCAAATGAAAATACGGATACCTGTGGATTTTGGTTATTGTTTCACGGCAGCGATAACCGCGGCGGCAGACGAAAAGTGGAAAATAGACGGCGGAGGGGCGGGTGATAAACAGGGGAACTAGGCTGATGGTTGTGATAGATAAATGTACGTGACGTGCCTCAGTTTCTTTTTTATTAAATTTATTATATAATTCTATAATGTAGAAGGATTGTTGTGCAGATTTTATTTCGTTTTTTATTTTGTCGGTTTAGGTTTTCTGATATTTATTTGGGTTAACTCTTTATGGGCATTGCTCAACTAATGGGATTTAAATTGCAGGGCCCAAGCCGTTTGAATTAATTTTGTTTTTGAGGGAAATTTGCAATTTCCATCCTCAAACCTTTGCAAATGTAACAAAAATATCCTCATTCTTTTTTCTTAACATAAATCAATCTTATCGATTGTGTAGTAAAACTCGTCATTTCCACCATGTTGGTCGTTGAATAAGCACCTTCAGTGACAACAAATTTCAAAAGAAAACGAATAAATTTAAGGAGTAAATATCTATTAATTGATGGTATTAATATGAATATAATAGTAAAAAAAAATGTAAATCGGTGAACATCTGTGGTGCTAAACGATGTTATGATAAATTTTTGTGTGTGTATAGTCATAATGTGTTAGCTAATGAAGTTTTGTCGGATATTGATTATTATTCTTGACTACTCAAGTTGCAATCTATGGATTAGAAATTAATTGCATAGGAACGTAATTCGCAATAAACTATTATATCATTGAAAACATTTACAATTTACACTTTGCCTCTGTTTGACAAATTTTTTTAAATTATAAATTAGTACAACTTTTACTTTTGATCATACATTTTGTGGAATTCATCAACTTTTAATTTCAAATGGGATTAGTCAAATATGGCCCGAAATAGGTTTTGGATTGAGAAACATCTATCCATTGTTAATTCTTTTAATTTGTCGTAAGTAATTGAATAAGGGAAGCGTTCCTTGTACCAAGATTTTTGAAAAATATATTAGATAAAAAAATCTTAATCCCTAATTTAAGTGGATCTAACGGACCACTTTTATTCCATTGAAACAATTTAAAATTTTCAAATGGATCCATATGTATTTATACATTTACATATTGAACTTGTAATACGCGGTTTAATATTTAAGTTTATATACTATTGCAAATGAATACTATTAAGATATTGTGTTCTAGTGGTTAGGTGCTACTTTTCTTCCATTGAGGTTCAATGTTAAGTCTTCCAAATAACAAATCTTTAAAGATGACTTTTGAAATTTGGTCAAATGAGTCAATCTAGCGGTTCAAGCCAACGATTTTAAATGAAAATTGTTGATTAACTCCATCAAACCTAGTTTTTGATCGAGTCATTTGCACTTGTGTGTCAAATTATTCTTCCTGACCCAGACAAAGGCTCGGGTCTCTAGTTTTTCGGCCAGATAGACCAATTCAGACTAGATTTTATAAATATGATATCAATGTATGTACAGAAGAGACGAAGAAAGAGAAGATCAAGGGGGAGGCAAGATTAGGGTGGAGTGGGGTAGTGGAAGGGTGTTTGGTTTGTTAGGTTTTAATAAGAATATCAAAACTATTGGATTAATTTAAATAAACAGTAGAGACTTTTGGTCAAATCTATTTGTCAAAAATCTTGTTAGGTGGAACGCTTCCCAACAATCACATGTTTCACTTAAAAATATTCAAAAATAAGTGCGAAATTTTTGTAAATATAAGTAATATTTACGAATAACTTTTATTTCCCTACAGTTCTAATCATTATAAATGTTCTATCTCTTATAGCACTAATTCTTTCCTATAAATATAAAACGTTGGTTCTTAATATAACACACAAATTTCATTGGTTTCTCTCTTTTGTTCTCTCTAATTTATAATATGTTATCAACAGATAGCTTTCTCAAAGTTAATCTATTCTTCCAGTTTTAAGATTATCACTAGCAATTCAACCCTTTTCTCCAAGCCCATGGCGGCCAATGCTCCTTCGATAGCAGCTCATCAATCCGACGTCGCCACCATGAAGAAAGAGCTTTGAAAGCCGTATTTGTCAAGATTGAATTTCTAAAGCCCAATACAAATGGATACACACACTTGAAGTCAAAGTAGTGATTACTGATTAGAGTTTTGTCCAAAGATTGTTTCTTAATGTTTTTGTGCAAGTCTGTTTTATCCCATAACAGTAAATATTTATCCTTTGAACATATGTTATTGCAACGTTTTCATGTTTTATGTGATTGCTTTTTTGGTAACTCTCTCAGTTCTTTCTTTCTGATTATAATTGGCTAGTTTACCCTTTGATGCTTGTTATATATATACATATTACTTTTGAAGTAGCAATAATAAAATATAACCTGCTTTCGAAGTAGTACATGTTTTGAAGAATGTATTACTTTGAATTCATATTTATCCCCGACGGAAAATATATATTTGAATATCATGAGAACATTGATTAATTTGACTATTTTAATGATATATAATTATATAATAGTTAAACATATTCGTTGAAACTAAATAGTTGAATTATTTCTTATATTGAACCAGAAGTTCAATTTTATTTTTGATGACCAATTGGATCAATAATGATGCGAAATTTAAAAATTCAAATGGACATTAAATAAAGAATCATTAGATTTTTCAATTAAATGAATTATGTTATTTGTTCTCTTTATTGAAAACTGATTATTAAACTTCACTAACTAAAATAGGAATTAAATTTCCTATGTTTTTGAAAATTAACAAGGATGATAAATAGATCCCATCATCCCCTATGTTGACAACCTAAATATTATTTGTCTAATAAATTTAATATATATATTAGATTATTACATTGTGTTTGCAATCTTAAATTTACAAAATTACTGCTCACATTTTAAATTATGAGCTTAATTTTCAGAGTATGCAATCTTGATAATGCTAGTAATTCTAAATCTCAACCTTTTAATAATTGTTAGTTGGGATGTCGATACTAATTTAACACTATTGCTTGTTAAATGTCTCTAATAAAGTTAATTGAGAACAAATTCTTTCAATTTCTATTTATTATACATTATGCTAATATTATAGTTTTCCGTATTATAATTGATTTATAGTCAAAGCCTAATTCTTTCATCTACTTATTTTGACAGTGCAATACGTGTAAAATTGATCCACCACAATGCAGTGATATAGAAAGTAAAAAATGTGAGAATAAATTAGTAGTTTGAACCTTTATACAATATCTCAAATCCCAACGGATGATACTTTATAAAGCAGTTTGCTGATTGTCAATTTGACTAGACAATTCTTTCAGTATTAAGGGAGGAATTAAAAAATTGGAAGTAATGTACAAATGTATCATTATATATATCATCGCAAAAGGTAATTTGAACCAAAAGTTCGAAATACAATTTATTTAAATGCATGTACTGATAAAAAAGATATCAATAATATTTCACACACCAATTTTAAATACTCTAACATCAATTGATGTCCCAGGAGCAATTCAATAGTATTATATTTGATATATCTATGAAGCAGGATGGTATCAATTATAATACAAAAATTTCCAAACAAAAATGGAACAATTAGCAAAAATGATCCCATTAAGGTGGCATATATTTTTTATCAGGTACGTAGTATTCAAAATTGAGATATCTTAATAAGTTATATTATTATTGGAAAAAAAAAGAATCGAAAAAAAAGTTACCGACAACACTTTTTCACATTATGCACTGCATCATATTATGAACATCAATGAATTAAAATAATTTTGTCGAAACATTTCAATTGAAGTAATGATTGATCAAATAAAATGACGCGATTATACTAAAATTAAACTTACTAGAGAAATTTAAAATTTCTGGATCAACAATCAAAACACCTAAAGGTGTATAGTTATGCGAAATGAAAATGAAAAATGTAAAGTCGTAATATGAAATGTAGGACTCTTTATCTAATAAATTTTGCGAAGACTTGTATAAGTAAATAAATTATCTTATGGTGAATGTAATCACAAGTCTTTATTTCATTAGTGTGATAGGATGCATGAAATTTGATATACGTGTAATAAATGTGATTATAGACAATTTATCTTATATGGTTTTGATTCTATCTTGGACGGATTAAATATACATCAAGCATAATTCAAGTGATATTATTATGAGAAGAAATAAATACGCGTTGTACTCTTTTCATTTGACTGAGGTGTTGTCCCATTGAGTTTTCATCGCAAGACTTTTAATGACACAACATTTATAGCGTATTCAAAAGAATATATGCACTATTTTTATTTCATTAAGAATTTTCGTAATAAGATTTTAATGAGACATATTCTTTGTGTGATAAATGTTCATAACATAAAAGACATTTACCCTTAAAATAATATTATGGTATATATGAGACTCTTGAAAAGATCAACAAGAATTATTTTCTAAATTATTACGTTACTACAATTATTAAATGTTGATAAAATATTTATAATGAAAATTGTACAAGACAACATGAGACATGTACACTTTAATAAAATTATAATATTGAAGACATTGGCTTACAAGACAATGATGAATTAATACAAGAATTGAAATCAAAGGGTAACTGTATTCTTTTCCTTCGATCAAATTTTATTTATTGAATTTTCTTGACAAGGTCTTAACGAGACAACATTTTATTACTCTAAATGATTTGTACTCTTTTTCATTTATTGATATTTTAATCCCATTGATTTTTGTCGAACAAGGTTTCAATGAAATAGTTACTATGTAAATAATAATTCAAGGAAGAGTGTTGTAAGTATAATAGTATTTATGAATGACTTTTATACTTCTACAACCTTAGTCATTATGACTATTGTATCCCTTGTAACTCTAATTCTTTTTTATAAATATGGGTTTTGGCTCTTGATAAAACACACATTTTTATTGGTTTCTATCTTTGTTCTCTAGTTTATGATAGAAATGTTATAATATTTTAATATTAAAATGGCATATACCCGTGACAACCACATTGATTGATGTCATTGCGTGTCAAGAGGCGAGTTAGCCCACGACAATGACAATTTGGTAAAGCTCGTGCCATTGGTCAGGCTTTAGAGCATGCGTTGAGACACTCTGAGTTAATTCTAATACAACCAGCTAAAGGGCTAACGAGTACAAAAACAGCTTAGAACGAACTTTCCGTGGATGAGTCTTAGCTGCCCATTTTTATATCGAGTGAACCCTTTTTACTATTATACATTATTCCATACCTAAATAAATTAAGACGACAAAAAATGAAATGAATTCTCTTACAGCCAAATACACCAGATGGCAAAAGCATATAGCATTACAAGCAACATCAACCCAATTTTCTTACAAAATATGAATATTAAAGCAGTATTATTCACTAAATTTCACACAAACAAACATATATAACTATTATGGCAAGCAAACCTATTCACCATGCTAATTTACATTGCAGGGGTTATACTTCTAGATCTCCCCTACAACTCAAGGGTGAGGTGGCTTCTCCAAATCCTCGAGAGGGCGGAAAAAGGCCTTCTGCTCCAACACTGAATTTCCACTAGCTCTCGTCGATGAGGTGTAGAAATCAACCGGTTTGTGATCAGTTGTAGGGCCGAAAACCCCGGTCTGAGGGTGAGGAGCCCAGTATTTGTCAGATTGAGGTAGGATTAAATAGTCGGGCACCACGGTCGAGTGCACATGCTCCTCTATGTTCTTGTCGTACACGGACGCATGCACGCCCCTCCTGCATAACGTTAGATAGATAAATTCAGACAACTTAGGATAAAGTAATAAGAGTACTAAACATGATAGGATTAAGGCACCAACTCGACCCTTTTATATCATAAATATGGAATCTAAATAGAAAGCTTTATGTCGGTTATTTCTTATTAATTAAATATGAAAACCTAAACAAGAGGTTTTAATACTTCAACCAAATTCATGATTTTGTGTTTAGCAGATGACTTGAGATCATCAGTTGACATGCAAAATCTCAGAAATGTTAAAAATAAAGCAGTAAAATTAAAAAAAAAAAAAAATGCAAACATTTTAACAAAATAATCACAAAATATTAATTAACATGCAAATATTTTGTTCGAACTAAGATTGATCAAGCCGAAAGGACTAGTCGGTGTACAACATATCAATCACATGTACTGAGGGACGAACGAGGTTAAGGACTTATGCTTTTGCTTATGCTTTTTAGCAGAGCTTACTCCATACTAACAGATGGATGAGGCTAAGCTAGTTTGATGAAACTTTTGTTTTTGGGAATTTTTTGAGGAAGTGAACTTAATTGATGTTCGAAAAATAATTTTTAAATAGTTTCGTCTTCAACTTCCTCTAAAACTCTTTTAACCATAACAACTAACGAGCCCCCTTACAAATTTAATCAAAGTTTCAAAATAACTTTTGAATCTCGTAAACTCCTTTTGAGTTCTCAAAGTTATGCCAAATGAACCTGAAAGATGATTACGAGCTAAGAACAAAAATTCAAAAACACAATAAAAATCCTCACAAATTATACCTGAGAGTCAGTGAAGGAAGAAATCGCTTTGCCAATCCCAACCTCTGTAAATTGGCTGCCATAAAAAAGAGAGGACCTTTTTTTTTTTTTTTTTTTTTTTTTTTTTTTTTTTTTTTTTTTTTTTTTTTTTTTTTTTTAAAGAGAGGACCTTTTTTTTTTTTCTTTTTGGTGCTGAGATTTTAGGAAGTGGGAATTATCTGGATTCAAAGGACACCTCCTTTTATAGAGAGGATGATGTTTGACACTTTGACTATGTGTTTTTATTTTTATTTTTATTTTTTGTGTTTTGGCTCTCAGGTGTCCGCACCTAACCCCGTATCCGTCAAATGTTTGGACCGATATTTGACGACAACCGTCCAAATTGACGGAGATAATCCTAGGTTAAGTATATCATTGGATTTTATGATGAAATTTGGTCCTTGATCTTTGGATAAGTGAATATTTATGACACTTAGATGGTTTGCTGCTGTAGATATTTGCAAATAGTTTGTAACTCACAGTGTTGACCTAAACATTTGTATGATCAAGTAGCCAATTGATCATTTTCAATTTTTCGTCCACTTATCATTTGCACACTGAACACATTATTAGAATGCAAAAATCACTATCTCATAAAAAATCCAATAATCACTTTACTATGACAATCAAGTCATTATTGAAACAAGAAAAATGATTATTGAGAGATGAGTGACGAGATTTTATTGAGGGCTTAGATGAATATCCTTAAGTGTAAATGGACTCATTTACATATAGATGGAGGGAAATGGGCCAAATGAGCCATTCAACCAGTCTAAAGTACAAGAACATATTGTTTAATATGATTATACACAATGCAATTGATATCATCTACGATCAAATCGCTCACGTGGGATCCCCTCGTCCACTGCATGGCACGTTTTATATGTATCAAATTGCGTGTTAATATGTAAAATGAATAAACTAATGTACAACTCATTAAAAGAAATTGATGGTTTCTTTCGTATTCTTTCTCCCATTTGGGGCTCAAGACATTGTTATGTTATACCCGTTTTCAATTTAATTATCCACAGTCTTCCAGTGAGTATTAAATAACTTACTAGTTCATCCCCTATTCCCTTATCCTATTGTTATAGGCATTGTTGCTCCAATATGTACCTTTATTTTCTAACAATTTAAGGCTTAAATCATGACCTTTACCCCAGGAGCAATAATATTAGAAATAAATGAAACCACAAAAAATAAATAATAAAAATCACGACATTAAATTGATCAAGTTCCTCATATTGAATTTCACTATAACAAAATAAGAAGGATTACAAGATATATATACATTTTACTGACAAAAAAATCGATTATCTTAAATTCATAAATGTAGTAAAATATTATAGTGATCTTTAGTATAAATTATTCAAATATTATCTTCTAAATAAAAAATCCCAATTACCACCTACTTACGATGACTCTTTGTGGTAAGGTAATTATTTTAATTTTAATAAAAACTGAGGACACAAGTGATCACTTGTGCAAAAGTTTAAACCCCTTGCGACAATTTTCCTTTCTATCAAGTGTCAACTAATTTATGCACGAATATTCCGGAATCTCTTAACGGCGTTAATTAATATTCTTTCAGTGGGTCCCACATGTGCACCTGATCTGAGTCAGCATGTGTCACTCTATCTATCCGAACCACGTATTCATGGAAATAATAAAGTGCATGCGACCTCAGCAAGCTTGACGTGTTCTTCCCACTAGAAATTTTTTGGTGGGCTTGAATTTAAGCCTTGGCAGGCGGTCGCAACGTTGGGAAGTCAAATGATTTGTGCTAATGACTATTTAATGTTTGTTTAAATTATTATAATTTGATGGATTTTGACCGATTACTGAATAGTTAATACTAGAAATTTGCTAAATGTGTGGGGGTGGTTTGCATTTTATAATGTTTTATACTGGATAAATTATTAAAGAAAAGAAAAATGACATCTCATTACATCGACGCTTCTGCTTTAACAGCAAGGAGTTTGTCTCTATTTGAATTTTCAATTTGATGCATAATTTCACTGACATAATCACGTTGTAGAATAACTTATTAAGGGGTACTTTTGGTACTTTCATAAAATGTCAGCTAGTGTAACATTTGCGTTTTCTAGATCACTATTTTTAATTTAAAAATTTTGATTTTCAAAGAATAATGTTTGAATAGGTGATTGAATAGTTTTATAATTCTGTTTGTGAGTAGTTCATGTTTTGATTGGTTGATCATTCTGTTCCGAATTCATTTGGTTGTTCAAATCTCATTTTTATTTGTATAATCTACAAAATTAAGGGTACGTTTCTGTTTTGCGCGGGTTAGTCGCTAACAATTAAAAAGGATCAGACGATTGTGTAAAGGACAAACCTCTTGAGACAAAATCCTAAAAAGGGGTGTTCTTTTATTGGCGATGACTTTACAATTGGAAATTAAAAACAATGTGCCTCCAAGGGGCGCAAGCACACGAGTTACTGAAAGAAAGGTGTTTAAGTCTAAGCTAAGAAAATTAAAATTACATGTTCTCTGTTCGAGAGTTTTTGATTCGGTCCTTTGCTCTACGTCTTTTCTCCCTTTTATACTTCATGGACGATCTCTTTGTGATCAACCGCCTAAAAACTGCTTGATCGTCCTATAACTGCCCACTTTCCTCGTAATGGCCAACTTGTCATGAAAACTGTTTTTTTCAACTGCTGCCATTACTCTTCGTCGTTTAACCGCTTTCGATTGAATTCCTTGAATCGTGGAACGTGATAGGACTGCTTTGATAACTGCTTTGATAACGGCACGTCTTAATAATCACAACGCTTTATGTTTGTTAAGACCTTGGGCAACTTGAAGGTTTGGGCGAGAATAGAGTAACAGCTCTGGGCGACTGTATGGCACTCCGTTCGCTCAGATTCTGGGCGACTTACAAACTTGGGCGATGGCGTTACCGCGTTCTTGGGCCTCCCTATTTGGGCCTTCATCTTGATTTGTTTGATTGTGCTTCGTTCTTTGTGCTATCTGATTTGGGGATCCTCCAATTGGGTTTCACTCCTTGGGCCGTTCGATTTGGGCTGAATTTTTATGTGTCAACAATTACCCCCCAATATGGCAGAATTAATAATAATTATTAAATTTTGCCATATTCACTTTGTGTTTCCAACAACATTCGAAATTCTCAAGAATTTCAATCATTGTTTTCTTCTATAACTTGAAAAGGTGCGTCGTTTTGCAAACCCTTATAACCCCCAAACACGCCATTTCACTGCACCACTAAATCACGCTTCAAATTTTTCGCGTCTCTCACGATTTACTATTCATCCTTTGCTTCCCTGCTACGTAACCCTGAAAAGTTTCGTTCCATCTCAAATGGCTACTTCACAATCTCAAGCTGGCGACTCCTTTAGTTTCGATGACTTTCAGAAACTCCTGAGTCGTCCATACATAACTCCGAGTTTTCTCGCGCCCGTCGATGTCGAACGTAATGAGTTCTACTTGGGTCCTTTCTTCAACAATGCAGAGGCAGTTGAACAGGCGGCGGTGGGTCAGCTGTTTCCTTGCACTCAAGGCCCTCCATTTCTAAACTCTCTACCGCTGGGGCCACTTCGCGAAAGAGGTATTCCCACTTGGCCTAAATCTGATGTAGCTTTCCGTAGGTGGCATGCTCGCCTTGTGGGTCATGGTCCTACTAAGGCACTTTTTGACAGCGCTAGGATTTCTGATTTGTTAGAAATCTCTATTCGTCCCCCTACTTTTGATTCAGCACTCTTTTCGATTGCTTTGAGTTTTTGGTCTCCTGAGTATAAAACATTTATTTTCCCTCTTGGCCCCATGTCTATTACCTTAAGGGATGTTAGGGCCCTGGTGAATCTATCACCTTTGGGCAATACCATTTTTCCTGGTATCTTGGTTTCTGGTGGCGCCCCAAAGTTTGGTAAAAACTACACCGATTCTTATTCAAGCCTGCAAACCCTTCACAATCATTCGAGCGCTGAGCCTTCCCATACTGAGCGAGTGGCCTTCCTTCTAGTTTGGCTTTGTAAATATGTTTTGTGTGTGCCAAGCATAAAGCCCTCCCTGAGTTATTTACCTATAGCGCACGAATTGGCGCGTGGCAGGCCTTTGAATTTATGTTCCTTGTTTTTGGCTACCCTTTATAGAGGCATGGCCTCTCTTCAAATTCAATTGAAGAATGGTGCATCTCCCACTAGCAGTGGACCTCTTTGGTTCACTCAACTGTGGTTGAGATCCTATTTTTCATTGCTTGGTGCTCTATCAATCTCTCGCTCTTCAGCTAGCTGTTATGGGCTAGCCATGGAGTCCTTAGCTCCTGTAAATATGTCCAGAAGGGACATTTTTTCATTCTTTTATTCTTTGGATTCAATCCCTTCCTTTTTTCCTTTTCCTCCTTTTTTGACTCCAAACTATGTACGTCCCCTCTCCACTATAGATAGCGCGAGCACCTCCCTGCTTATTTGGATCCAGTTTTTAACCGGGAGGGAGCTATTTCATGATATTTTAACTGGGACCAATGCCAAGGCGGGGGTAGAAATTTATGCTCCCCAATTTTTTGCTCGTTAGCTTGGTTTCGGCCAAACTTGGCCTGTTCCTCCTTGCTACTCAAGGAACTTAGTTGTCCGTTTTTATACCATTAATAAGGCGGAGGCAGAGGTTATAAATGCTCGTAATCTTCTTTTAACCATCCATTTTCCATTGGCCCCCTTCAATTCTAGCCACACCATTCACCCTCTTTTTGAACAACTCTGGCCGTCGGTGAAGTACAGATTATTTGCGACTGACGCCAATCGTGCCTTTCATTCATTAGACCAACCGAGCATTTCTTCTCCTCCTCCTGTTTTGGTCACTCCTTTGTCCGTTTGGAGTCCTTCTCCTTCTCGTCGCACTAAACAGTCTGCTCGTCTCCATCTTCTTCTCTCCCTGCCAAGCCTACTACAGCCAAGAGTGCCCCAAGCCGCAAACGGCCAGCCTCAGCATGTCCCATTCTGGGGGACAATGTTGATGATGATGATGATGATGATGATGCCCCTCTTATCGTCAGGAGGAAGGTAATTAAATTGGTTTACTCACAAGCATATTTTTTCATACTTGAAACTTTTCTGTGTGCTAATGATTTTTGGACTTCTCAGAAAAGTTCAGCCTCTCCTTCAAAGGCTTTGGCATCGACAGCTC